CAGTGCTCTTTATAACTACAGATAACTTTCTACCATCTCTGTAAAAAAAGTTGTGGTCGCATTCTATGTCAACCTTTTTTTGCAATACATCTTTTCTATAGGTTCCGTTATATTATTATCGATGCACAGCACTGTAGTCATGCGAATATCGGGTGAAGCTGCTAGTGTCTTGGCCTTTGTACTCGTCAGTTACCTTTAAAGAAATTCAAGTCAGCTTAGATTGTATAGGAAATATTTATAAAATCTTAAAATGGCTACCCATCAATGGCCAAGTTGACATTAACTCTTAATAAATTTCCTAATATCGGGACAATGTCAGCGTTTTTAGACCTTGACTCGTTATTAGTCCACTTTAGGGCAAGAATTTAGGCAGACTTCTTGATCTGACATTCAAGTTTTTTAAAACTTCCGTTTCACTAAATCCACCCCATTTTTAGTAGGAGGTGGTTGGCAGGTTTAAATAATTCAATTAAGGTGAGGGTGAAAAAGTCGACGGACTTGTTGGTATTCGAACCCAGAACAGAAATGGAAAGCTCTACTATAGCCAATGCTCTACCAATTTAGCCATAAAGGCGGGTCAGAGGCCCCGCATTTAATCACAATTGGGTCGATTTACCCACCCAATTAACTGCAACCTATGGAATGCACCTAGAACGGCAATCGTGAAATTAGCGATCAGTCGAGAATCAACCAGCTTACTACCAGGCAAACTTTACTATAAGGAAGAAATTTGGGATTTACATTATGCAATTGACCCAATTGTGAGATATTTAGCAGTATTGGTGTGGCTACAGCGTCGGGTGTACTCAAGCCTTCCCTACGGGTGTGGGTTCAAGTCTCAACGGCGCCAATGAAATTTTCACAACTGAGTCAATTGAACATATTATTTTACTGAAACCTCGTTCTCACAGTTTACGTTGCCAAAATGATTTTTTTGTGCAGGAGGCCTTGCTTAGGAAAACCCCTAAGACTGAGTTATACTCCATTAAACGTAAAACTAACTCCAAGTCTCAAGTCGAGCCCAGAATAGCAATAAGCATAGAAAGCGGTTCTTATATACGGCGAAGTATAATGCTGGCCAAATCAATAAAGATTTTGCTAAATATGGTATATTAGGATTATGTATGGCATGCTGCGATTGCACTTTCCGGAACGGTCTAGACGATACTTTAAGATTGCAGTGTTGTATGCCTTTAAACAGTTAAAAGTATTATTATTTGTTGCCCTGTCCGTCACCGAATGAAGGCATGCATTTTCATTTGTTTAGACTGCGCTACCGATTGGGAAGTGAGCGACCGTTCTGGATAACGGTGACTCCCTGTTCTCATGGAGTCGAACTCCTGAGGTTCAGTTCGGTTGCGATGGCTGCTGAGACTACAGCCGTGGTTAAAATGCGCAATACACGGCAGGCTCTGCGTGGACGTCGATCGTATCGATCTCGTAAGCTCCTTCTCTTTGGGTATTCTTACACTGTAAGCATATCTAAGCGCAAAAAAAATTGATTAGTAGGGTATGTTATAACAGTATACCTAATCTCATGTTGCAGGACATTGGTATCGCGGTTACATTTTTGTCCCAAAATACCTTGTAGGGATATATAAGCATACCCATTAGTTTAGTAGATAGGCGTACACCGATCAGATACAGGGCATACCCGCCCCGGTTTTTGATGTCCTGTGTGTTCGGGAACCCCCGAACCGGTAAGACGTCGGGCCCGATAGCTCAATGGTTAAGGCGTTTCCCTCTGTCCGGAGAGACGCGGATTCGAAACTCGGGTGTGGCGGAAATTTCGCCTGCTACACTGCAGTGGAGCATCTCCATCTGATGATGCCTAATGAGGCAGAAAAGGCCTTCGTGGAAGTCTCCGTCTTCAGGTAAAATGTCCTCAAATTACCATCAGGGCGTTGCAGTGACGGTGACTTGCGACAGATCCACCTCAGTCACTCTTTTGCTCTCCCACATGCGCCCGGCGTTACGGCAGAACCAAGAGCACCATAGATGGGAAGAAGCGCATGTCAACGCACTGTCGGCCACCCACAAGCAGGAACAAAACAAGAAAATGGGAGGCAGCTCGGATGCCAGTTAATTTGGAGTGCTATACAGAACATACCAAGAAGGTACAATTGCATCCTAACTTTCAGACCGCCTGTCAGTCACTCCACACCATAAGTACTGGGCTGATCGCGCGGTCGGCGTTATCATGTCGGTTGGCAACCTTCCAGGCAACGGATTTTAGCGCACAATAATAGCCTCTAGTGCATGCAATTCCTTATTTTGCTGAGCCGTCGACATTAC